TGTTCACTCAGCAGGCTGGTTCTTCTCTGGAAGGCTTGAAAGGAAAAGCCATTCCAAGAGCGTCAGGAATCCTCTGGCCCTTATTAATTCCTGAATATTCAGGAATTGAGAGGCATGCCTTTCCCGGGGCTGAGGAATCCAGGCATTTCCTTTGTTAGTTTCTCATTATGGTGATAAGTACCCTCTTCTCTCTTGTTTTGTAAGTCTGGAATTTTAATCTTTATCTTTTCTGAGGATAACTACATTGTAAGACAGTATATATGCCCACACCATGTCGATTAAAACATCTCTGCTCCATCAGAGCTTTGGTCCCCGTGTCTTTCTTTCTTTCTTTCTCTATTTCTGGCTGATTCCCTGGAGCGCGCAAGCCGGCTGCGTAACCCAGGGAATGTGCCTCTTTCCTTCTTTCACTCTCATTGTCGACTCCCGACCACCAGGTTCCGGTCCAATAAAGGACCAACACAAGGGTATCCCACAGAAGGGAAAATGGAGGGCGCATTCACCTGCCAGGCTCCCTTCTCTTTTCTGCATTTCATTATTTAAGGCTCCTCACACGGGAGTGAACTGCTCTACACTCCTGTACATCATCCACCCTTCATGGCAGCTCATAAAGCCAGAGCTTGTGGCCTGATACGCGGCATTTCCTCCAACTCCAAAGTGGAGGGATGGCCGATAACGGAGAGGGCTTCATATGGGGGCTGTAAGGGCCACACAGGCCCAGAGTTTAACTTGGGCTCCAGTCAGCTTAGGGAGTGCTAGGTTTGCCTGCAAAGGCAAAACGGGGGAGCATGGGCCAGGTGGCAGATGGCACTTTCAGGAAGGAGGAGGAGACTATTATTGGAATCTGTATTTCACATAACAGGATATAAATGAAATAAATGCTAAAGAGTACTACAAAGTACCTTGTAGCTAAAGGAGTAATTCAGTAGGTGGGTAAGGTTGGGAGAGATGGCTTTACTGAGGAGATGGGGCTTCAGAATGATTTGCCCATAGAGGCTGCAGGAGAGCTGTTATAGCCAAGGAACAATCGGAAAGACAAAGACACCGTGGCATAAATGTGTATGTGCTCAAGAACTGCTGGTACACTGAAGAATGGAGTGGAACATGGCAGAGGCTTTGAAAAGTCAGCTGGGAGTCAGATCACACAAGGCCTTGACAAGGAGTTGGAAATGGATTCTAAAGATCATAAGCCATTCAAAATTTTCAAGAGGGGAATAACATTCATGAGTTGTTTTAGGATATAATTCTGGGGCAGCTGTTAGAATTACACTAGAAAGGTGGTTCAGGCAGGATCCTAAGTAGGGCTTCCTCCACAGTAGGAGTGTCTGTAGTTGACTCTGTGGGTCCAGATCATGACTTAGGGCACCGAGTGGCCTACAATCCTGTGATGTGATGCCTAAAAATCAAGCTTACCAGACTGATGTTAAACCCAAAACTCATTTAATTGACAAAGTCTCATTATACTGGCTAGACTGAACTCAAATCTGTATCTCTACTCACCACCCAAACCCCAACAAAAAAGAAAAACTCCCAAAGATTAAAAGCTCACAAGAGAAGGGGAGGGATGATGAATGGTAGATGAGAGAAAGTGCAGTAAAAATTTTAAAGATATTAACTGTCAAAATGGAGAAAAACAGGGTTTCCCTGGTGGACCAGTGGTAAAGAATGCACCTGCCAATGCAGGATTGATCCCTCGTCCAGGAAGATCCCACATACCTCGGAACAACTAAGCTTGTGTGCCTCAACTGTTGAGCCCGTGCTCTGGAGCCCAGGAGCCTTAGAGCCCGTGCTCCACAACAAGAGAAGCCGCCTCAGTGAGAGGCCTGTGCACTGCAACTGGAGAGTAGCCCCACTTGCTGCAACTAAAGGAAAGCCTGTTTACCAGTGAAGACCCAGCACAACCAAAATAAATTAAAAAAAATTTTTTTTAAGGGCTTAAAAAAACAAATGGACAAAAATGAAACCTGATTCTGTGCAGCAAGGGGAAGCTAAACAAAAATAGCAAGGTGAGTGACCGCCTTATTACAAGTCTACCATACATGAGCAGTTTCCATCAGCTCTGAGTGCTCAAATCTCAAGTACTCAACAACAGGCAAAGATCACCAGATATTCCAAGATCACATCTAACAAGAGAGAAAGGAGTCAACCAACAGGAGAAAACCAAAACCAAAAATGGCTGATACAGAGAACAGAAGAAACTTAAAAACTGATAACCTTAAAGAGAGAAAAGATAATGCATTCATTAAAAATAAAAGAATGAAGTGCCAGGGACAGATAGCCATTCAGAAAAGAGCTAGCTCTTGGAAATTAAAAACATATAGCAGAAAAAATAGATATAAAATATATAGCAAAAAACCAATAGAAGGGTAGAAATAGAGCTGAGAAAATTTGTGATAAAAAAAACAAGATTAAAAATGGAAAATAAGAGACAAAAATACAATTAACTTAAGAGGCACATTTCAGAAAATCAAATAGTCAACTAATAGAAGTTCCCCCAAAAGAAAACAGAGAAGGTAGTGCTCACTTCGGCAGCACACAGACTAAAATTGGAACAATACAGAGATAAGCATGGTCCCTGCACAAGGATGACATGCTAATTGAGGAAGCGTTCCATTTTTTAAAAAAGAAAAAAAGATATAGAGAAGATAAAGTGAAAAAAAAAATTCCCAGAACTGATGCACATGGCCTGCCAGACTGGAAGGCCTCATTTGCATTATGAATTTAAAAAATACCCACACTAGGGACTTCCCTGGTGGTCCAGTGGTTAAGAATCCACCTTTCAATGCCAGGAGACATGGGTTCGATCTCTTATTTGGGAAGATGCCACGTGCTGTGGAGCAACTCAGCCTGTGAGGCACTACTACTGAGCCCCCGCTCTAGAACTCTCAAACTGAAACTGCTGAAGCCCATGTGTCCTAGAGCCTACGATCAGCAACAAGAGAAGCCTGCACGCCGCAGAGTAGCCCCCTGCTTGCCACAACTAGAGAAAGCCCGCACGCAGCAACGAAGACCCAGTGCAGCCAAAAAATTACCCACGGTAAGTCACATCATGATATTTCAGAACACTTGAGATAAAGATCCTAAAGCTTTCAGAAATAAAAATTACAGGTCACAAATAAAAGTTCTGGGATCAAAATTGTTACTGTTGTTTAGTTGCCCAATCGTGTCCGACTCTTTGAGACCCCATGGACTGCAGCACAGAAACTCAGAACAGCATAGGGTTTTAAATAGCAACAACGAACTATGGAAAAATAATGAATAAATGCATTTTAAACTGCCTACCTACAAATGTATAGCATATCAACTTATCAATGCAGTGAAAGAATAAAATAAACCCATTTCAGAGATGCAAAAGCCTCAAAACGTTTGCATCCCATTAATCCTTGGGAAACCATGGAAGAATATGCTCCACCACACAGGGAAGTAAACCTGTGGATCCAGGAAACAGAAGAAACACAGAAGAAATGAACACGGCGAAGGCAAAGAGAAATCCCAGAGTAAGAGCTGTGCCCCTGGTTAGAGAACCACCACCATGTACCTGTCATAGGTTGAGTTGTGTCCCTGCGAAAGCTGTATGTTGATGTCATCCTAACCACATGGTCTTCAGAATGTGACTGTACTTAGAAGATGGGGTCTTTAAAAAGTTAAGTTTAAATGAGTTCATTAGGGTGGACACAATCCAGTGTGACTGGTTTCCATAAAAGAAAAGAAAATCTGGACATAGATACAGAGGGAAGACCAAGTATAGACCATGTATAGACCATGTATAGACAAATGACCAAGATGGTCATTTACAAGCCAAGGAGGCCTCAGAAGAAACCAGCCCTGCTGAAACCTTGATCATGGACTTCTGGCCTCCAGAGCTCTGAAAAAATAGATATCCAGTGTTTAAGACACCTAGTCTCTGATTTTTTTTTTTTTTTTATGGCAGCCCTGGCAAACAGTGCCCAACCTAGACCAAGTCAAGAACAAATCCAATCAACCCAAGAGATTTCAAACAAAAAAAGTCTGATGTGTTTACCCGATCCACATTAGGTCTACAGGAAAAGACACAAAAATGTAGGGGCAAAAATGGCATAAGAATAACCATGGCACACCATGGTTCAGAGGTGAACACTTACATAGAAAATAACATAAACTTAGGATATTGATTTAACCAAAAGCTGGAAAATAACTATACTAAAAATATGCAGGGAACAGAAGTGTGTATGTGGAAAAATGATATGAAAGAGCTAAAAAATACTCATCTTCTACAGTAGGAAAGCAACAGAAAGTACTAGAAACTGAAAAATCAAGAAGTGGTCATATAAGCCTAGTATTTAAATAACAGGCAAATATCAGATAATAATGCAAAAATACATAAAGTGTTGCCCTTGGGGAGTGACAATCAGGGGGTAGGGCAGGTGTGCTAATGGGAAGACTACTCTTTTTCATAAAAATCTCAGAACTACTTGAATTTTAAACTACATACAGAAGAGTCACGTGGTCGCTGGGCCGGGGAAATGGCGGCTCCAGGAGAGAGCGGGGCTTAGGGTGGAGGAGGCAGCACAGAGGAAGCATTGATGACCTTCTACAGTGAGGTGAAACAAATAGAGAAGAGATACAGTTCTAACGTCCAAAAATCAGACTGAAAGACTGCCTCGTCCTGGTTCTTCCTACTTCAATTTGAACCCGTTTGAGGTTCTTCAGATAGATCCTGAAGTGACAGATGAAGAAATAAAAAAAGAGGTTTCGGCAGTTATCCATACTGGTGCATCCTGACAAAAATCAAGATGATGCTGACAGAGCACAAAAGGCTCTTGAAGCTGTGGACAAAGCTTACAAGTTGCTACTTGATCAGGAACAAAAGAAGAGGGCCCTGAATGTAACTCAGGCAGGAAAATAATACGTGGAGCACGCCGTGAAAGAGCGAAAAAAAGCAGTTAAAGAAGGAAGGAAAGCCCACAAATGTGAAGGAGGATGACCCTGAGCTGTTTAAACAAGCAGTATACAAACTGACAATGAAACTCTTTGCTGAGCTGGAAATTAAAAGGAAAGAGAGACAAGCCAAAGAGATGCATGAAAGGAAGCGACAACAGGAGGAAGAGATTGAAGCTCAAGAAAAAGCCAAACGAGAAAGGGAGTGGCAGAAAAATTTTGAGGAAAGTCGAGATGGTCGCATGGACAGCTGGCGAAACTTCCAAGCCAATACGAAAGGAAAGAAAGAGAAGAAAAACCGGACCTTCCTGAGACCACCAAAAGTAAAAATGGAGCAGCGTGAGTGACCGCCAAGGGTCACGGCCCAGAACCTTCCCCGACTGTCCCCCTCCTGCTTTGAAGGACTCATTCTTTCCTCCCATTTTCACCCCAACATAGAGTAGTATTTGGTTTTTAGTCCATTTTGTTTTCAATACAATTTAATACCGATCAGAGTAATTCTTTTGTACAGTGAAATGAGGGGCTCGGTTTAAAAAGATACCCCCCCCCAACCCTCACCCCCCAGACCAACTGGGACTGGAAGGTGCTGCCTTCTCTTCCCACAGCCTATAACTTCATGTTTTGTACTTCGAGTGTGATGGTTAGAAACGTCGTGTGTAGTCTGTGGAAATCATCCAGTTAAACACACTGCTGACTCTGGTGTTGCCGCGACTTCAGAGACAAGCCTGGGCCACCTTGGGAAGCCCCTTCGCTTCGGTTGCTTGCTTCTGGGTGTGGTGTCCTTCGAAGCCTCAGATCAGATGGGAAGGCCGCCGACACCCAGAGCGGTCACTGGACGCCCCAACGTCCCTGGAGTTTGGCATGTGCTTTCCCATCTGACTGGCCAATCCGCGTGGCCTGAGGCTCCAAGCTACCCGACCCGTTCACTTTCCAAAGAGCCAGCCGTGCTCCATCCTGTACTGTGGTGTCCTCGCCTGTCTGCATTTATTAGTGGTAATATTCTGTATGTGTAATAAATTTTTATACCCTAAAAAAAAAAAACTACATACATGTGTGTGTGTGTTTCTTATATGTTTTTTGATGTGATGAAAATAAAAAAATGTAAAAGCTTAAACAGACTACTACACAGCTTTAAAAGAGGAAGTTGCTGGTCCCTTTAGCCAGAGGTCTTTCAGTGGTATGATGTGAGCAGAAGCCAAAACCACAATGTGTTGAAGAATAAATGAGACACAAGAGGAGAGTGGTTATCAACAAGCTGTGCTGATAACTGAAATGATATGGGGGCACAGAGGACAACAGGATTAAAGATGGTTTTCCAAGGTGGCACTGCTTATATGACACTTGTGCTGGCAACGTCCTCCTCAGAAACTGCTTGCCAAGGAACTCTGTAGAATATTAGACTAGCTGGAATCCCATGCCTGTCCCTGGTTGTTCTCTTTCTGCCTCAGCAGTTGTCCTGCTCCAATTGCTTTCCAAGTGAGAGCTCATGAGGTATGTGAGGAAACAATGCGAGGAAACAAGAAAAACTTTTGTATCTCTGTTAAATGTGGCAGGTAGAAAAAAAAATTTTGAGCCACCCTTTAGATGAAGGTGAGTTAGAGCACCTCCTTAGCGTCAGGTTCCACAGGATGTTCATTTATGAAACACAACAGAGCAAACAGCCATCACAGGCAGCATCATTCTATGATACAACACTCCAAAATCAGAGGCGTAACAAATGAAGCCAACTTGCCCAAGTATTCATCAAATATCTACCAAGGCTTATGATGTCCTGAGTTACACCCTTTCTTGAGCAAACAAAGGTTTCTGGCTTCCTCTGCAACTAAAAATAATTAATACCTCCCAAGTGATCCATCCGTGTGTTCTAGAGGTAAAACCAGCTAAGAGATAACTTAGAAAAAGTCAGGTCAGGCACCATCCCACAGTGAGAGGCTAGTAGAAAAAGACTGCAGCAGGTTACATTCAATAGAAAAGCAGTAACTTAAGGAGCCAGGCAAGTCTCCGTGGATATCGCAGGCTTTAAATGTCACATCTTATTCTGTTCATCAAGCAATCTTTACAGTCTACAAAAGTTTTCAAGTTTTCTGAGTAGCTCTACCCAATTGATAACAGTTACCCTGTCAGGTAAATTACCCAGCATTAAGTATTTAGATGTATCAATTGGGCTTTCCTGCTCAACTGACAATCACTCTCAAAGTTTATCCATTCCTGTGTTAGATGGCCTATCTGAAAATTCAGTGAAAGGAAGCTGCCAATAAAACAACAGATTGACAATGAAAGAAATGTCTAATGACAAAAATACTACAACTAATCTCAAGTAGTGATTAAGTTCTAAAGAGATTATCTCCTAGGTAGATCTTAACAAAAATATTGAATAGTTAGGGGGAGAAAAAAGATACCCTAGTGATTGGGTCAATAACAGAATATGACAAAAACATGTTTCTGCATGCACACACACACATATATACAGACACACTAACACCACAAGTTTAGTCAGGAAAAAATACATAGAAAACAAAGGTAGAATTTTTCATTAATTTACAAGGGATATTCTTTATTACTTTTATCAATTCTAAAATATCATCTTCCTTTAAAAAAAATTTGAGTGGAATGACAGATTATTTCCTTCACTGCTGTAAATACTGCAAATTTGTCAGCAGCAGTAAGTATCAATATAATTTTTCCTTAAGCTTGAACATATAAGGCAGCAATAAAATAGATTATAAACTTCATTTGACCTGATCTTACAAAAAGTCACTTGCTGATTTCAGTCCTGCTCTGTCTCCAGACAGATTTCCAGGGTAGGCTTGTGTCACTTGGCCCATCTATAATAGGCTGAATAGGGTACTCTGTAGTAACTGCCAGGAGAAAACCTTTGGTTCGGGCCTCCTTGACTGGCATTTGGCTTTACATTCCAAGAGTATCTCCTCTGGAAATAGTCCTCTCCAGGGGGACCAGGAGGAGGGACATGGCATCTCTGGTAAATGTTCTGATTCCGTGAAAATTTTCTTAAAATGAAAGTAATAAAACATTATTAGTTTTAATAACTATATATAACCAGCTTTATAAAATTATACCTAGACCACTCTGGTTCTACTGTTTTCAACCTGTGTGATTTTAGCAGATAAAATTGCTTAACCTTTGGATCTCTCAGTGCTTTATAAAGTAGAGCATTAGGGTATTATTAAATACCCTCCATCTTCATGACTGTTTTGAGGTAAATTAAGACAATGTCTTTCAATCACCCACCACAACGACTGGGGCACACTCTAGGTTCCCAGCAGCCTTTTCCACCTTTCCCTACAGAGGTAAACGCTCATACTATTCTAATCAGACATCTTCACTCCAAGTGTGGCAGGGTTGACACGAAACAGAATGAGCTATTTATTTTTGAAAACAGGAACCTGCTTTCACCTTAGAAATCAATACATATATAAATTAATTACAAAATGTAGAAATTCTAACCATAGCACATGCAGCAAATTTGGAAAATTAAAATTTAACTGTCTCAAAATTAATACCAATAAATGTAATATAATCATATAAAAGAAAATTTGGAGAGCTGAGAAAAATAAACACCCCCCAAACCCCTCAATTCCAATTAATCTAACTAAACTGGTTAATATTTTCTTTTGGTCTTTTCCTCTTGCATCTTTTTTTGACTATTGAATCATAACCTATTATTTTCACTTCTTATAAGTCAGCTCTCACTTTTAATGGTTTTATAAAATATCACAGTATGAATAGATAACTTAGCTATTCTTAACTGTTAGAAATGCAAGCTGCTATCAATTTTTCCACTACTGTAAATAATGCTGGGATTAACATTTCAGAACATATATGACTCTATCCTAAGCATTTAGTTCAGAGTCTGATGCACAGTAGAAAGTTTAGAGAAATGTGTTGAATGATTAAATGCATATGGATTTTTCCATATTTTGAAGTTTTTCTGTAGTCTCAAGGTTAGCAGGTATGAGCATTTTTATGGCTATTACAGTTATGTTTCAAAAGGGCTATACCTATTTTCAGAGTCCCTGGGAACAGAAGCAGCAATCTTTGAAATGTTTACATCTTCTAAAAATGTCAACATCTTTTGAAAGTGGAAAGTTTACAAAGTGCTAAAATACTTAATAAACTTAGGTAATAATCAATAACAATCCCAAGGTATGTATTATAAAAATTTTATTTATAATGTTATTAAAATTTCCATCCAACAGATAAGAGAAGAGGAATTTAGAGATCTTACTCAAGATCATACAGAGAGTGAACAACAGAGCTAGGATGCAAACCCAGGTCCAGCCTGACAATCACTACCCTGGACTACCTTGTGCTATTTTAATTGTTCTGAGGTTTTCCTGTTTCTCAAGTAAAAAAATATGTGTGTGACTTATGTTTCAATTCCTGCAGATTTCTCTACTGGCATTGTACTATTTTCCGTATAATTTGCATTTATTGTGCTGTGCTGTGCTAAGTCGATTCAGTAGTGTCTGACTCTCTGTGACCCCATGGACCATAGCCCCAGGCTCCTCTGTCCATGGCATTCTCCAGGCAAGAATACTGGAGTGGGTTGCTGTGCGCTCCTCCAGGGGATCTTCCCAACCCGGGGATCAAATTCAAGTCTCTCATGTCTCCTGCACTGCAGGAGGATTCTTTACCACTAGTGCCACGTGGGAAGCCCTAATTTTTGTTTACTCTTAAATAAAACAACCTTCCTTATTCTGAAAACTGTACCACTATTAACGGAGCCTAAGAATGCAAGGAGACTTCCCAGATGGCACAGTGGTAAAGAATCCACATGCCAATGCAGAAGATGTGGGTTTGATCCCTGGGTCAGGAAGACCCCCTGGAGGAGGAAATAGGAACCCACTCCAGTATTCTTGCCTGAAGAATCCCATGGACAGAGGAGCCTGGTGAGCTACAGTCCATGGGGTCACAAAGAGTCAGATGTAACTGAGCTACTAATACACACAGACAAGTATGTAAGATCCTTTTTGGCACGCACATCAAATTATTGCCTTAAACTAAGTTTAAGGATCAATGAAAAGTTCTAAGATCTTATCCCAACTGCCTCTGAAAAATCACCTATTCCCCACCCTATACTTGATTTTCCAGCCCTAAGTGCAAAACATGGAGAAAACAATACCTCCTGGTTGACACTGACCAGCAAGAAAATACAAGTTCTTCTTATTATCATACTGTGTTTGCACTAATTTATAATATTAGTTTCTATTTCAATTTTAGACAAAATAAAGCAGAGATACCTTTCGGACTGCTGTAAATCTTGAGTCCAGGTATGGAAATGCCGAGGTTCTGGGTAACCTTGGGTCTGATGTATGTTATGCTTAGGTCTTCGGTTAAAAGACTTAGTAGCTGTGAAAACTGGCTCCATCATATGTGTTGAATCTTCAAAACCTCTTGTTCTAGATACACTGGAATCCCAATTCCTCAAACAGAATGTTTCCACAAAATATTATTGGTGTCCAAATTTGCTATCAGTTCAGTGACTGTGTTTTGGCCCATGAAAACACACAACCCCACCTGCCCCCCCACACTCCTGTTTGTTTAGGTTTCCTACAGCAAGTAAATGAGCTACAAGAATGGATATGTACAATTTAAATGATACAAAAATAGATCTTTCTAACCACAAATAACAGGTATAAATGCAACTTACTTTCTGATGGGACCATTCCGAAGGTCTTCAATGTAGTTTTGCCTTTCTAAGCAATGTCCACGGCATCTATTGAATACTGAGGAGAAGATGAACTGTTAGAAATAAGTGTACAAAAAGCAAATCTTTCCCAGAGAAAGCAGATCAAAGAGGAAGCCCACTTACTGATTATTCAGGTTGTCATAGCTCATTACTTTCAGATACATCCCTTTATAAACTTTTGCTAAAAGGTTATTTTATGTCAGAACAAATGAATCACAAACTTTTCTCTTTTACCAAAATTTGCAAAATTCACCTACATTTCTACTTTCAGATTAAAAAAAAAAATGGAAAACAGTGACAGCTCTCATACTTACATTCAATTGCATCATCTGGCCTCATGCCTTCTACATCAATCAAATACCTAACAGACAACAAAATTCAAGTCAATTGTTAAATAAAAAAGAAAAAAAATCATTTTTGCAAAAAAAAAAGTCCAATTTCACTTTACAAATATAGAAATAAAAATCCTAAGAAAACATCAGCACATCTAATCAGTAATTATTAAAGAATGACATATGAAAAGGCTTTATTCCAAGGATGCAACGATGACCTAGCTTTAGAAAATCTATTAATGGATTTACTTACATTAATACAACAATTAATAAATGAAAGAGAATAAAATACAGGATGAAACTGGCAAATATTAAAGAGGTATCTGAAAAGATACAACAGTCAGCTTTGATCAGAATGCTCTGTACACTAGAAACAGGAGACTTAATATGACTGAGTATTATTCATCAGGAACCAACAAGTAACAGACAAATTAGGAAAAATATTAACATCATATCTAAAAAAAACACTATTAACCTATTAACTATTAACCAACTGTAGGACCCAGAAACTTAGGAATCACCATCACTGACAGGTACTTCTTCCTCACCTTCATCCTCAACCCACCACCAAGGCCTAAACAATGATATTGCCTAAACATCTCTAGAATATGTTCACATCTTTCCACCAAAATGACCACCAAATCCTTGTCCAAGCCACCATTATGCGCAGCTTCTACTAACATCTCCTAACTTGTTTCCTTGCTCTTTATCCCCGCAGTGTATTCTCCACTCAGTAGCCAAATGAGAGGGTGAAAATACAAACTTAAGTACACTCACCTTCAACAAAAACAGTTCAGTGATTTTCTAATACTCTTAATGTCTAAAACCTTGAACACAAACCTGCAAGACTGAGTTCCTACCCACATTCCAGCTCCATTTGAATGACACACTTCCCCTACACCCCTGCCTTCCTGGCCAGTTCCTCCAACAGAGCATATGCTTTCCTCTTACAGGGTCTTTCTTATTTCTTATGCTTAGAAATGTCTCCCCAATGTCTGGTTAACACCTACTTCTCCATCAGATATCAGCTCAAACATCCCTAGAGAAACTTTCTCGAAGGAGAAATATTGTATGAAGGTTGGAACTTTTATGGGCTGGAGATGGGCTGGAAGTTGAGTCCACTGCCAAAAGCCAATGATTTAATCAATCATGCCTATGTAATAATGACCTCAATAAAAGCCCCAAAGGTGGGGGTGGTGGGGAAGAAACTTCTAATCTCCATGATGAGGTCAAATCCTCCCTAAAATATGGTACCAGGTGGTACCAGGTCCATTTCCTTGGCATTTGTCAGAGTTGTAACTGTACATGCAGACTGTAATTCTTGAATCTCTATTCCCTCTCTGGACTGCCGGAATTCACACAGCGTAGGTAAAGGCTCTCTGCTCACACAATTTCCCTAGGCTTTTTGCTAGGACCCAGCACAGAGCTTAAACACAACAGATGCTCAATATTTTAAGTATTTTCTGAATGAACAAACAAAAATTGGTACAGTCACAAAAAGCATAAGGGCATAAACTCCTTAATTCAGAAGTCCCATTCAGAGTGAGGTTATCTGAGACAAAGCATATATAGTCAAAGACATTCACAGAAGAATGTTCATTACTTCAATGTTTTATAATATCAAAAATTTCTGAATTTCTGTTCATCAGTAAGCAAAGAAACAATGCAGCCTTTAAAAAAGAACAAAGTCTCCAAATATTTTCATAGGAAGATGTCTACCATATATTAAATTATACCATGAAATCACATGTAGAGTCAGTCCTCTGTATCCACAGGTTTCATGCCTGCAGATATAGAGGGCTGACTATCCTATACCAGTTTACACAGGGGACCTGAGCATCTGAGGATTTTGGTATCCATGGGATATCCTGAAACCAATCCCCTGCAGATATCAGGGGACAATTATATGTGCTTCTATCTGTTTTTTAAGTAAAAAAAAAAAAATGTGCTAAATTATTACTGGTGGTAATCTCCTAAATCGAGGGCATAACTGCTTCTACATCATACATTTCTTTAACTGACTGCATTTTCTGCATTCAGCTGACATTACTATTGTAAACAAAAAATTTAAACATGGTCTGCCTCTTGGGGTTGGCAACTCACCTGCAGATGAGGTAGCCAGTCCTGTTTAAACCATGGGTACAGTGGACACCAATAAGTCTGTCTATAAAACAGAAAATATGGGATTAAATAAATGAAGTAGCTACTTAAAGACAGGTTATACAATGTTCTGAAGAGTAGCATTTATTGTTTACTAGAACACCACCACTATCCTAAAATGGAAAAACTCTGAAGAAACATGTTTTAGCAGGAACATACTATAAAGAATTAATATAGTCAAAATTCATTGCCTCCTGGAAATCTTGCATAGCCTCCAATCATATGCAATAGTATGGACTGGAGCATGCCCATCATGAACTGATTTGACTATAGAAAAAGGGAGTGGGGAAAAAACAAAACAAAACAAGCTACCAAAAGAATGAAATCTGTTTTGGGTGAAACAAATGGAAAGCCTTCACTTTTAATGCTCAATAGTATTTATGAAAAGAACAAACGGTTTCTTGGGTTCCCAAAGTGCTTCTGTTCCTACTCTCATTTGCTGCTCCACACATACCATGGGTCTATATGCCTGTGGAGTTCTCGGGAACATAGCACTGTTCTTATATCACAATGAAAAAGTAAGGCTTGAGATGTTAAGGCCGAGCTACACACCAGGCAAACAGAACAAAGACTAGAATAGAGTCTCAGATTTTTCCAACTATGCCACAGTCTCTCTCAGTTTAGCACTTAAAAAAAAATATATATATATATATATATGTATGTATATGTATACATACATATATATATGAGAAAGTAAATAGAAAACAACACGTTTTATCTCTGCAAAAGGCATGTCTGTGACTAGGCAGTGTGTGGCATTTGTCATCTCTGGCCTGGATTACTACTGCCCAACTTCTAACCCCTTCTATTTCAACTGACCCGCCACATGGAAGATGTTATCTTCTAAAATATAAACCTGGCTGGATTGCTCTGTTGATTAAAAATTTTCATTTAGCATAGAATAAACCCCAAATTTTTAGCAAAAAATTTAGAACTCTTTATAAACAAGTATCAATCTGTCTCTCCAACTGAATTATAAATTGAAACTATCAATCTGTTTCTCCAACTGAATCATAAGTCCAAACTTTGACCTGTGTAATCCACCTCCCTCCTGTCCCCTGCCAGCCTCTCTGACCCCATTTTCTACTTCTCTGACTTCACTCACTCACCCCTGTTCAGCCACACTGGCCTTCTTATTACTCCTTAAACCTGCCAAGCATAGTCGTGCCTCAAGGAATTTGTATCTACTATTCCCTCTGCTTTAGAACACTCCCTCCCACCCCATCCCCACTCCCTCAGATATCCAATGGCTTGTTCCTTGCTTCCTTTAAGGCTCTGATCAACTGACATCTTAATAGAGAGGGCTTCCCTGGTCACCTTCCACACTCCCTCACTTCATCTTGTTTTGTTATTTTCCAGAGCACTTACCACCCACCGCCTGACACTCCATATTACTTTTCTCTCTCTCCCCCACTAGAATGTAAAGTATGTGAGGGCAAGAACTCTTCTGTTCCTACTTCCTAGAATAGTGCCTCCAACTCAGATGGTTATGAGATATTTCTGTAGAAAATGAATGTGTGACTTCCCTGTCCATTCACACTGCCCTCTAGCCCCCCAGGGGCCGCCCCTCCACTGCACAAGTTCTAGTCCTGTGCCTCTGTACCTGCTCCCAATACCTGGTCTGTCCTCTCCTCATTCCGGCAAGATCTTCTGCCCCCAAGCCCAGCTCAGACCCTCAGTCAGGCCCTCCTCAGTTTCTCCTGGGGCACTTGATTCTTTTATTTTTGTTTATTTGTTTTTGGTCGCACCACGCAGCATATGGGATCTGAGTTCCCGGACCAGGGATCAAACCTGCGCCCCCTGCACGGGAATCATGGAGTCTTAACCACTGACGGCTGGGAAGTCCCTGCACTTGGTTCTTTTATTATAATTAACCCACTGTCTTAGAGTTACTACATGCTTATCTTCCTAGATAACCATAAGTCTCTACTGAACTACACTGCTGGTCACCTGTTTCCCCATGCCCTAACAACAAACCTCATAGGCTCTCAGTGTTTACTAAACCAATTTATTTTCTGAGTCTACCAATTTTAGGGAGTGGAGAGTATAGCCTCTCCCTCTTTATCAGTGAGCCTGGCATCTGTGGGAGGGATTTATAGCAGAAGAAACTACAAGGGATCATAAGCAAGATCCAGACATCAGAGAGCACAGTGAAGTTAGCCCACTGCTGGCAGAAGACCCACAGAGGGGTCACACGCTGTCAGTGGGTCAGTGGCATTCCAAAGAGATTACTCAGTCTTAAAACATAGCAAACACCGTGTTCCCTTTGATACCTTTCAACCAAGCAATAGGACAAAAGAACATTTTTGTTATATATTTCCCAAAGTTTTTAAAAAGAGGTAAGTAAGCTAGTTCAGTTTGTACTTCTCACAACACCTTCCAAATTGAATTGACCGCCCCCCTGAAAAAAAACCCAAAACTAAATTGCTTGAGACCATAAAAAGGAAAAATGCCTCTGTTAGCACCTCCTTAATGTCATCAAACAAATAGGCCTAATGTCAGAACTATGAAAAATATTAAAATTCTCCAACCCCACTTGAAATGCATACCAAAATTCAGGTAAAGAGAAAAAAAAAAAAACACTCACCATTATCTTTATTTTCTTTCAAAAACCTATTAACAGCATTTTTGAATTTAAAAATAGTGTCATCATCAGGAACCTGATGCCCGACAGTATAAATTTTTAAATAAGGAATATTTTCTGGTAATTCCTAGAAGGCAAAACCATGGAATGAATATTATTTCATTTGTATGGAATAAACAAAAGATTAATTAGAGAAAGCAAAATACAAACAAAGATATTATGTTAATCTAAGTATGTCATTCACTCTGATAAGGGACTTTTTTTTCCCAAAGCTGCTTTAACGACGAAGTATCACGTGATTCTCATTAAACTACAGAAAGGACAGTTACTAGGGATGCAAAAGCAAATCAACATGAATGAAGGCACATATAACTCAAAATGATAAAAAATAGTTCTACCTAGTATCTTACATTTCAAGAGCACAAAGCAGCTGTGATTCATTGAAGTAGAATAGGCTACAATAGGGTCAAAAGAACTTGGAACTGGAAAATAGAGCAAATTTCACACACCGTTGAGAACTGGTATTCTTGGGGTGGGAGAAAGCAGATTATCAATAAAAGACAGAACAGGCTAAGGGAAAATTCTGTAGTTCTGAACTTAAACGGAAAGTAGCAGTATGAACCTATGATGTGTGTGTGAGCGTGCAAAGTCGCTTCAGTCGTGTCTGACTCTGCGAGACATGGACGGTACCTGCCAGGCTCCTCTGTCTGTGGGATGCTCCAGGCAAGAACACTGGAGTGGGCTGCCACGCCCTCCTCCAGGGGGTCTTCCCGACCCAGGGACTGAACCCTCATCTCTTATGTCTCCTGCATCAGCAGGGGGGTTCATTACCACTAACACCACCTGGAAAGCCTTGAATCCATGATTTATTTCATATTAAAAACAAACAAACACATTTCCTATCTCGAACCACTGAAAAAGTCTAGGAACAACTGATGTCATGTCAAAAGGATGCAAGAGTCACTGAGAAGCTCCACTGGCCAAAGATAGGCCCTCACTTAGAACAACTGGAATGGAGTCCACCGTCCTTGTCTAGTTACTCAGTTGTGTCCAACTCTCTGTGACCCCATGGACTGTAGCCTGCCAGGCTCCTCTGTCCTTGGGATTTCCCAGGCAAGAATACTGGAGTGGGTTGCCATTTCCTTCACCAGGGGATCTTGCCAACCCAGGGATTTAACCTGAGTCTTCTGCATTGGCAGGTGGACTCTTTACCACTAAGCCGCCAGCAAAGTCCAATGCAGTCCATGGTGATACAAATAAATAAAGCTGGTCACAACTGGAGGATATTTGTGAATCAACTCATTATTTTGAAAACTTTTAAACAAAGGAGAAAATCATGCCTCCATAGCTGGGCAACCAAAAAGCTTATGCAGGGAATTTTCTCCTGATAAAAATACACCCAGCTAGGGAAGACCCAGAGGGATCGGGTGGAGAGGGAGGTGGGAGGGGGGACCGGGATGGGGAATACATGTAAATCCATGGCTAATTCATTTCAATGTATGACAAAACCCACTGCAATGATGTAAAGTAATTAGCCTCCAACTAATAAAAATAAATGAAAAAAAAAAATACACCCAGCTAATAAGTGAAAAAGGAACTATAAAATAAACCATTTTTTGAAGCTCCAACTGAGTGGATGTAGGAATCAATCATAAGTGACTGTTAATATCACAGAAAGAGACAACCATATGTCTCCACGGAAGAAGACCTATATTCATCATCACTTATAATGATAAACACCTATTCATTCTCATGTATGAAACCGCTTTACCAAAAGAAAACATCCAAGCTTCATTCAGACCAAGCCTCTAGGTCCAACTACCAATTTACAGGAAATAAAAGGATTGAAGAATATGTTTAACAACACATTAACAAATGAGATCATCAAAATCTAGATGGGACAATTAAACCAGTTTCTTTAAAAAATAAAATTCAAGGAGAAAAAAAAGTGAGAGAGACATGGAAGAAGAACCTACAAAAAAATAAATAAAAATAAAATTAGAGACCTAACAATAAGACCACACCAGGTAACATGTGGACCATATTTGGATCCAATTCAAAAATCTTAAAAACAGCTTTTTATGACATTTAGGAGACAACTGCAAATTTCAGCACTGGATATTTAATAATGATACTAAGGAATAAAAGTCCTACATTTTAAATATATATATAACAAAAAATACATATGTGTAATGAAATGTTATCTAGGATCTGCTACACAATGAAATAAGAGTGAAACAGGCAGAGGTATAAATGAAGAATGATAGACATCAGTTGATAAATATTATAGTGAGATGATTTCATGGAATTCTCAACATACATAGAACACTCAGTATTTTGTATACTTCTGTATATGTTTAAATTTGCAATAATTGTTTATGACACTGTAGGAAACAGTTTGACAGTTTCTCAAAGGTTAAACACAGAACTAACATAATCCAACAACTCTGCTCCGACCTACACTACACATCTAAAAGAACTGAGAGCTGCAATTTGAACAAATATATGCACACCAATGCTCACAGCAGCATGGTTCACAATAGCCACGATGTGGAAACAAGCCAAGTGTCAATCAACAGCAGAATAACAAATATTTATATAATAACAAATTATATAAATAACAAATTAATATAAATTATATAAATTATATTATATAATTTATTGTATATTATTATATATATTATTTATTATAATTATATAACTTATATACAAATTATATAATATAAATTATATAATATAAACTATATATATAATATTTATATAATAACAAATAACAAATATTTTGTATATACACAAAATAGGAGTTATGAAGCCTTAAAAAGGAATGGCATTTTGTCACATGCTATAACAATGATGAACCTTGAAAATATTATGCTTTGTGAAATAGGCCAGATGTAGGACAGATATTGTAGATACCACTTACATGAGGTATAGCAAAGAGGCAAATTCAGAGACAGAAAGTAGAATAGAGGTTACTAAGGGCTGGTGGGAGGGAAAATGGGGTTGGTAGTGTTTAACGATTATAAAGTTTCTGTTTAGGATGATGAAAAAATTTTGAATATAAACACTGGTGATGGCTACATAACACCGTGACTATATTTAATGCCACTGAATTGTATACTTATAAATGGTTAAAATAAATATTATTTACGTGTATTTTACCACAATTAAAAAAAAAGGAACTAAGTTCAAATTTAAACTCTTCCTTTTCTGAATCTCAGTTTCATTTCTGTAAATCTAGTAGGTGTAATTGTCTATCCTCTGAGCTAACTGCAGAGGAAGTGCAGTAGAAGATATTAGTACTACCACCACTTCAACAGCAAAGGATTGTTGTGAGGATTAATTAAGACAATGGACATGAAAGAACTTTTTAAATGGCAAAATGCTATACATGTATTAACAAACATTAGGTGTTACTGTTTCCCAAGGCCATGGAACAGATCAGAAGAAGGATAATTCTTTTGCACTGATATGTCCTACAAGGGCCAAGAGAATATACAGGTTTCTGTATTATATCAAAAGATTTTAGGAAAAGAAAGCATAAAACTTAGAGAACAATTGCCTTTTACTGTGATGCTTAAACACATAAACACATAATGGATATACTTTCTTTCCTTTCAGGCTTACTCTTCTTACTAATAGTTTACTTCATTTTCAAACTACACAACAGGGGAGCTTACACAATTCTTAAGCAGATCCAGCGCCTATTGCCAAATGGTACAGTTCAATTCATGTCTTCAATTTCATTTTCTTAATCTCATTGCAGAGAGAAATCAGAAATGTGTACTTAAGGAAACCACCAGCTTTCCTTTTTGAACTATTACTCATGAAAGAAGGCCAGGATTCACCTTAGTATAAGATGATAAACATCGAATTACTACAAATTATTATAGTACCAGAAAGAATGTCCTTTTCAACTGCAAGTTCCATTTACCTCTGGCTTATAATAGCGGCGAGTATATGTTAAGTCAATAATCAGTCCAAGTTCTTCATTCTGTTCTTGGATTTTGTTAAAAAGATCCAAGGGGGAAAAACATTCTTCTGGGGCAAGATGCTTTTCAAAACTCTGTCAGAGAGAATGAAATTTAAAAAAACATGTGCTTAAAATCCATTCTTATATTATTCATTTACTCAAGCCCTGTGATGCTAACATGAGACTCAAAGCCAAGTTTCCTCCTCTGGAATTTACAAGCTATATTACAATCCTTTAAGCAGAGTGCCTGTAAATAGAGACTTATAAATAAATACTTCTTGAATACATATATGAAGGATGGCTTTCATTGCTAAATATTCTTGTATGTACTTGGCTTATTTACCTACTCTTTGCCGTTGATCTGTTTGGTTATTAAAGTCCCGGCAACACATTTTCTTTGAAATATATCACTAGACTAGTTTTACAGCAGTTTTAGATTCAGAGCAAAACTGAGCAGAAAGTACAGAGTTCCCATTTATACGTTCTGTCCTTCATCCCACAGCCTTCTCCATGATCAATGTTCCATACGAGTGGGCTTCGTTTTTTAGAATCCATGAACCAACACTGATGCATCATTACCAAAGTCCACAGTTTTTTGCATTCATGGTGCAAGCAACTGTTTTTTAATTTCTGGTACAGTCATGCCCAAATATATACATACTGAGATATATATCCTTGTTGTTGTTGTTGTTGAGTTGGTTAAGTCATGTCCGACTTTTTTGCAACCCCATGGACTGTAGCCTGCCAGGCTCCTCTGCCCATGGGATTTCCAAGGTAAGAATACTGGAGTGGGTTGCCATTTCCTTCTCCAGGGGATCTTTCCAACCCAGGGATCAAACCTGAGTCTCTTGCTTGGCGGGCAGATTCTTTACCACTGAGCCCCGAGGGAAGTCCCAAGGTACACATTACTTTATTAGAGTTTACTTTATTTACTCTTTCCTTATAGTTAAAGCATTACATTGATTTTTCCCTATGAAATTAGGCTGTATTTATGAATTCATTTCAGGATAGTAAAGGGGGTAGTAAAAAGTATAAAAAGGGGAAAAAAAGTATAAAAGAGGAAAATGGAGTACAACAGGGTTGAGAACTAGGGTCCTATCTGGTGAATTCAGATTTTGAAAAAATACTGTATCAACTTTTGCTTACCTTTTTCAAAGGAACTTTGAAAGCAATGAAACGAGTCCCAGGCATCCTCTGTCCAACTGGGAGGTAGTCTTTCCACCTATTAATACATTTTTTTGTTAGGCAAATTTTATATAGCTTGTCTCCCAGCATAGGATGAATGCACCTTCAAAATGGAAATCAAAGTCTTCTACAGTAGATTCCTCTTCTTTCAGCTTTGCATTTTATTCAAATCCACCTACTAATAACTTTTACTTCCCTAGTTCCAGTTTTCCCATCCTGAACACAGACAAAAGGCAACAAAACAGTGCAAAGGTCTTAACAAAGTATATCTAAAACCAAAGATGGCCAGAACTTCTGACTCCCTAATAAAAATGGCCTGGTGTTGAGTACTAAGGTATCATTAATATAAGCAGGTTGACTGAAATAGTTTAAACACAATACTTTCACTTCCCAGTTTATTCTTAGTCCTCATTTAACTGATGCCATCAAATTCAGTAGGGAACTTCAAATCCGTTATTTTAAAAGAAAACCTGATAATAAAGGGATTGTGAAGGTCACAAAATGCTAGGAATCACAGTGAAAAGTAATATTTGAACTGATTTCTGTAGGATGAGCTGGAAGTAAGGTTAACTCAGTGTATCTGAAGCACAGAAAGTGAGGGCAGAAGTTCAGTATTAGGATGAAGAGGACGTGACAGATTCAAAAGAAATTCAGGAGGTAAAATGGAGTTGATTTAAAAGGATATGCGGCGGAAGAAAGGAAGGTCTCAGGGAATAAATGGGTTTACTGTACATATAAGTCTCAAAATTAATTTGAATGTATAGAGGTAGATCTCTCAAATGACACCGGTTCTGAAGCAAGACTATGCCCTTTATGATTCCCGGAGACAACACAAATAACACAGAACTGTTTCTTTGGAAAATTCGGCGGTATTGGTGTGGTTGTTTTTGTTTTTTTTTTCCACTGAAACTCAGTTCCTATTACATTTTCTGTGCCAAAAATAACACGGCTTCAGGAATTGGAAGTGAAAACTTCAAGTGCTAGTCGCTTAGTAGTGTCCGACTCCGCGACTCCATGGACGGTAGCCCGCCAGGATCCTCTCTGTCCATGGGATTCTCCAGGCAAAAATACAGGAGTGGGTTGCCATTCCCTTCTCCAAAGGTATCTTCTCAGAGATGGAACTCGGGACCCCTGCACTGCAGGCGGACTCTTTAAGCCGTCTGAGCCACCACGGAAGACCTGAGGAATTGAAGGGGATTCTATTTTGGTAACTACTTTCTGTCCCCAACACCGACAGTCTCACCTTAAAACAGCAGTCCTTTGGCATTTTACCTGAAAAGCAATGACCAGAGCCTCGCTTTTGAAACAATGGGGAGAAATCAGAACATCACAAACCGTCCCTTTCAGCTACTCTGAACGCAGCCGCGAGCGGGTCAGTGCCGACTACCACAGGCGGACGATCCAAGCCGGCCGGGGTAAACGCGACAGGCAGACAGCACAAGAGATGAAGACCCGGGCCAGGGGCTCTGAGCTGAAAGGGCAACTCCCAAGGACCGAGGCGTGTATTACCTTTCGGGGATGTGGTTTCCGCCCTTCTTCTTGGCTGACGAATGTCCAGAAAAGACGCGATCCTGGCCCCAATGACCACCGGCATGATGCCACTGGCTCATGTGACCCCCAAGATGCCGCGCACGCAACGCCAAGAATACAAAACTTGCCAGCCCAGAGACCCGGGTGCCTGCAAGACCCCGAACCGGAAACGCCTAAGAAGCAACCCACGCAGCTCCAGGCACTCCTTCTATTGCGCATGCGCCACCGCCTGCCGCGATGACGTCATCACGACGGCTGACTGAGAGACTTGATCAGTAAACAGGGCTCTGCCGGCTGCAATGGCGTCCTTAGCCGGAGGCGGGTTGCACAAGTCCATGAATTCGTGTGTGCGCCCTTCAGAATTCCAATAGTGCGGGACAAGGAGAGTTTCCCCACTCTCCGAGTGCTTTGTGTGGCTCTTTCAGCTATTTTCCAAGTGCTTACATTCACACTTGTATATTGTGTATAAGTAATTTGTGCCTAATGGCTCAGATAAGCCCATGATACCACTTTAATGGCAGATAGCAAAAAGGAGCTAAAACGCTTCTTGATGAGGGTGAAAGAGGAGAGTAAAAAGCTTGCTTAACAGTCCCATCACTTCATGGCAAATAGAAGGGAAAAGCTGAAAGCAGTGACAGATTTCTTCTTGGGCTCTAAAATCACTGCACATAGTGACTGCAGCCATGAAATTAGAAGAGGATTGCTTCTTGGCAGGAAAGCTATGACAAACCTAGACAGTGTAATAAAAAGCAAAGGCATCGCCTTGCAGACAAAGGTCCATATAGTCAAGGCTATGGTCTTTCCAGTAGTCATGTACTGATGGGAGTGCTGGACCATGAAGGAGGCAGAGCACCAAAGAATTGATGTTTTCGAGCTGTGGTGCTGGAGAAATATTCTTGAGAGTCCCTTGGACAGCTAAGCGATCAAACCAGTCAATCTTAAAGAAAATCAACCCTGACTACTCATTGGAAGGACTGATGCTGAAACTGAAGCTTCAATACTTTGGGCACCTGATACTAACAGCCAATTCATTGGAAAAGACCCTGATGCTGGGAAAGATTGACTGTAGTATACAGGAATGGAAAATAAAGGACTCCAGGATATTTGGTGCACCAGACATCTAAGTATTTGACACTAAAAAAAAAAAAAACAATATCTGGCAAGGATTTGAGGGATTTCAGTATTTAATTAAACCCAAATATGACAGTAGGGTGAATTAACAAGAGCCTTGGCAGGTAGATGAACTGGCTATGTTACACCAAGACATCTCAGTTAACTTAATGGGTTCAAAATGCAGGAAGTGAGTCTATGGGACAAGACAACACCCTAACTATAAAAATAAAGCTTTGTAGTATAGTCTGACGGAGAAGGAAATGGCAACCCACTCCAGTATTCTTGCCTAGAGAATTCAGTGACAGAGGAGCCTGGTGCGCTGCTGTCCATGGGGTTGTACAGTCAGACATGATTGAAGCAACTTAGCAGCAGCAGCAGCAGCGGTATAATCAGAAGTCAGAAAAGGTGATTCCTCCAGCTCCATTCTGCTTAAGATTTCTTTGATTATTCAGGGTCTCTTGTGTTGCCATACAAATTGTGAAATTTTTTGTTCTAGTTTTGTGAAAAATGACATTGGTAATTTGATAGGGATTGCATTGAATCTGTAGATTACTTTGGGTAGTATAGTTATTTTCACAATATTGATTCTTCCAGTTCAGGAACATAATAGATCTCTCCATCTGTTTATGTCATCTTTAATTTCTTTCATCAGTGTCTTATAGTTATCTGTATGCAACACTTTTGTCTCCTTAGATATGTTTATTCCTAAATATTTTATTATTTTTGTTGTAATGGTGAATGAGATTGACATCTTAATTTCTCTTTCTGATTTTTCATTGTTAGTGTATAGGAATGGAAGTAATATCTGTGTATTGATTTGTGTCCTGCAACTTTACAAAATTCACTTATTAGCTCTAGTGATTTTCTGATATCTTCAGGACTTTCTATGTATAGTGTCATGTCATCTGCAAACAGTAAAGAGTTTTAATTCTTTCCAATATGGATTCCTTTTATTTCTTTATCTTCTCAGATGCCATGGCTAGGACTTCCAAAAGTATGCTGAATAATAGTGGTAAAAGCTACAAACTTCAAGACAGTATGGTGAAAGTGAAAGTGAAGTCGCTCAGTCATGTTCGATTCTTTGCAACCCCATGGACTGTAGCCTACCAGACTCCTCCATCCATGTGATTTTCCAGGCAAGAATACTGGAGTGGGTTGCCATTTCCTTCTCCAAGACAGTATGGTAGTGACACAAAAACAGAAATATAGACCAATGGAAAAAGATAGAAAGCCCAGAGGTAAACCCATACACCTACGGGCACCTTATCTTTGACCAAAGAGGCATGAATATACAATGGAAAATAAGATAGTCTCTTCAATAAGTGCTGCTGGGAAAACTGGGCAGCTACATGTAAAAGAGTGAAATTAGAACACTTTCTAACACCATACACAAAGATAAGCTCAAAATGGATTAAACACCTACATGTAAGACCAGAAACTATAAAACCCTTAGAGGAAAACATAAGTAGAATACTCTTTGACATAAATCACAGCAAGATACTCTATGACACACCTCCTAGAGTAATGGAAATAAAAACAAAAATAAACAAATGGGACCTAATTAAACTTAAAAGTTCTTGCATAGCAAAGGAAACCATAAGCAAGATTAAAAAACAAACCTCAGAATGGGAGAAAATAATTGCAAATGAAACAGCTGACAAAGGATTAATCTCAAAAATATACAAGCAGTTCAAGCAGCTCAATATCAGGAAAACAAACAGCCCCCCAAAAATGGGCAGAAGATCTAAACATGCATGTCTCTAAACAGGACATACAGATCGCTAATAAACACATGAAAAATGTTCATCATTGCTCATTACTAGATAAGTGCAAATCAAAACTAAAATTAAGTATCACCTTATTACTGTCAGAATTGACATCACCAAAAAATGTACAAACAATAAATGCTGGAGAGGATGTTGAGAAAAAGGAATGCTCTTGCAACCTTGGTGGGAATGTAAGTTGATACAGCCACTGTGGAGAACAGTAAGGAGATTTCTTTAAAAAACAAATAAAACTATCATATGACCCAGAAATCCCACTACTTAAGCAAACCACAATTCTAAAAGACACATGTACCCCAGCATTCTTAGCAATACTATTTACAATAGCCAGGACATGGATGCAACCTAGATGTTCATCAAGAGATGAATGGATAAAGAAGTTGTGGTACATCTATACAATGGAACATTACTCAATCATAAAAAAGAATGAATTTGTCAGTTCTCATAAGGTGCATGAATCTAGTGCTTATTATACAAGTGAAGTAAGTCAGAAAGAGAAAAACAACTATCATGTATTAACATATACATATGGAATCTAGAAAAATAGTACTGATGAACATATTTGTAGGGCAGTAACACAGGCTCAGATGTAGAGAACAGACTTGTGGACACAGTGAAGGAGAGTGTGGGATGAATTAAGAGCATAGCATTGAAACATGTACATTACCAAAGGTAAAATAGATAGCCAGTGGGATTAGCTATATGACACAGGGAGCTTGACCCCATGCTGTGTGACAACTTAGAGGGGTGACATGGGGTGGAAGGTGGAAGGGAGGTTCAAGAGGGAGGGGACATATGTTTAGCTATGGTTGATCCATGTTGATGTATGGCAGAAACCAATACAACATTGTAAAGCAATTATATTCCAATTAAAAATAAATAAATTTAAAAAATAAGGTCAGGGAAGGGTTGATGTTCCAAAGTGTCGAACTCTTTCATTTCTTCTTCCTACATGTAAGATTCGCTTAGAGGATAAGATGATGCTGAGATTGCAAGCTAAAGTTAAATGACTGGAACTAGGGAAACCAAATAACTTACTTAGGTTTGGTGGAATCAGGAAAAGCCTAACTCATAGTTTCCCTAAGTAGAATTGAATATTGGAACTGAAAATTTTAGTATGTAAACATTTTATTGCTACCAAAATTGGTCTTACTGCATTTCTCTCTATCTTACACCATCCACCCAAACCTGCAGTAGTCATGAGTCCCTTGATATCCATGGGAATATAGAGAAAGAGAGACTTGTTTGGCTTGCAGGTATTTAGTATATATTGTTAGCCTCACATCACATACTAGAATCATGGAAATAGGCCATCTGAAGTATGAAACTTAGGGGGAAAAAACCCTGATATACACTTAAAAGCCTAAGCCACATCTGTACACCACAACTTTCACAATTTCTTGTCAGCTAAGTATCATCCCAAATATATTTCATAATAGAGAAAACAAGTGTATAAATTAAATATGTGTCTTTGGAGATCCCATCTATGAGATACCATCTTGGTATTAGCAAAGTCCCCAGATAGATTTATCTTTGCACCCCTGAAACCTTACTACCAAGGAAAATGAATAGAACCATAGGTTTCCTCCTACAAATCAGCTTACCCCACATATAAGTCATAAGCAACTCAGCCATAACTCACATTATCAAAATCACAAGAGTGGTTAGTGAGAAAAGCATTAACCATGGGGGGAAAGCAGAGGCACTCCAGGCCAGGTCGGGCTGACAGCAGATAGCTGCTCCTTCCACTTGGGTGCACAGTGCAACTCAACAAAATGCCTTTTTCACAGACGCTTTTTAAAGTTTTTCCACAAAATCCATCAGGTCAAGTTAGTTCATGATGCTTCAATATAAATATGCAGTATGCCTTACAACATTGGATTCCTTAAAAATATGACAAAGAAAGAACCATGTGGGCAAAACCAGAGCATTTTAAAAGTCTGTATTCTATAAACACACAAATGAATGATATAAATAAGGTAATATGACACAAAATGAAAAATATATGTAAGATTATTCTTTTTAGTGTACAGAATTCATGGCAGTTGCTACACTGTCTAGCTACATAAATATATCTATATCTAAAATTGTTGGTTCTGTTAAACAAAGTGAGGCCAAAGTGTGTCCACTTGCTTCTCACAGAAACTGAAAAATCTACATGACTCTCTTTTAACCTGTGCTCT